AAACCATTTTCTATCAAGTAAGTATCAAATTTCTCATGCCATTGTTTTGGAGCTTGTTTCAAACCATAAAGAGATTTAGCCAATTTACATACCTTGTCCTCTTGGCTAGGCATAACAAAACCTTCAAGTTGATCCATGTAAATTTCTTCATGCAAGTCTCCATTTAAAAATGCCGTTTTAACAACCATTTGATGGATGAGCATGTTATGACTGGCGGTTACAGCTATAAGTACTCTAATGGAAGTCACTCTTGTTATAGCTGAAAAAGTATCAAAAAAGTCTAGTTCCTCCTTTTGTTTGAAACCTTTTGCAACAAGTCTTGCTTTATATTTATCTATGGTTCCATTCGGTTTAAGTTTTTTCCTCAAAACCCATTTACAACCTATTGTTTCACAACCAGGAGGTAAATCTACCAACTTCCAAGTTTTATTAGAAACCAAAGAATCCATTTCATCATTAATAGCTTCTTTCCAAAAATCAGAATCAGAAGAGGTTAAAGCTTCTTGAAAAGACAATGGTTCACCATCTACATTATATACATAATAATTTGAACCAAAATCTCTTTCTTTACGTGTTTTTTTACTTCTCCTAGGTTCACAATCCATGTCCTCTTGGTTTTGAAAATGAGATGAAATTGAGGAACTAGGTTCAAAATCATTTTGTTTTGTAAAATCATGACTTCCATCCTTCTTAAGTTTAAAAGGAAATTTATCTTCATGAAATATAGCATCTACAGATTCAATAACAACATTAGAATCAAAATCAAGGAATCTATATGCCTTACTTGTAGTTGCGTACTCAATAAATACACATGTCATAGCTTTTGCGCCCAACTTTGATCTTTTTGGATCTGTCAATCTTACATAAACCAATCATCCCCAAGCTTTGAGATAGCTAAGATTTGGCATATAACCTTTTCACAACTCAAAAGAAGTCAAGTTAGTCTTCTTATTAGCTTTAAAATATCTTCTCTACAATAAGATTGAATAAATTAGCTGTAAAATATATTTTCCACAGTAAAATTGAATGAAATAAGTTAAGGTTGGGAACATAATTAATTGGATACCCATATAAATACTTTCTAATTTAATATATAGTTATTAAAAAATTATTATTTAAATTTAAATTAATTAAAAATAAAAAAATATAAATTATAAATTTTAATAATTAAATTGATAAATATTCATGAGTTTATTGAAATGATAGATAGGATAATCATTTTCCTAATTATATCAGCCAACGTTTTCCGCATGGGAAAAAAAAGGTAAAATATCAAGCAAAAGAAGATATGTCTCAGAGAATTAGCTAGGATCCGAAATTCCAAAGTAGTGCTTCTTACTGTTCTGGTCTTAAAAAGCAAGAAAATTCTGTCTTTTAATGAAACAATGTTACAGGTGTGTGGTTGCTGTCGCCATCGATAATCTGCATCAATATTCTGAACTGAACAGAATATGCTTGGGTATCGAGGGCATTAAATTTGCATATCCTTGACTAATATGTTGGATTGTAATCATTTTTTAATTTACTTTGGATTATATTTAGATTTGTGAAATATTGATTAGTTATTATTATCGGTAGAAATTGCAATGTATTTGAAATCTGTAC